CATGGCGCATTTTTCCACCAACACGAACGGGCTGTTTTTTGTTTTGTTTTTGCATTTTTTGCTCATAAGCAGAGAGTGCTTCCTAGCGCTGTCCTTAGACAGTAAACGTGATGAAAGTTAAACTATTGAGGAAAAAACGCTGCATATATTGTTTATCATGACTCTGGTTTTACATGACCTATCAACACAATTTATGGTTGTATACTGGTATATATCACCTTGTTGCTTTGTCATCTTGAAGTGGTCATGTGATTGGCTTACCAGGACTACTTTATTCTTCCTTAGCCAAAAAACAGCACTCATGCGATTGTTTTGCCCCCCTGAGCTCCAGGTGTTGTGCCGAAAAGTGATCATCGGGCAGAAAGTGATAGCTGTCCGCAGGAGCGCGCGCAGCTGCTTGAAGCCATAGCGTCCAGGTTACTTACGTAGACAGCTACTTCCGTGCAACCGATATAAGATGCGGTAAGCTGAACACAGCTTCAATATGTTGAAAAACAGTAACGGACCGCATTTTCTTGTTAGTAACTGTAACGGCGTTGTAACGATAGGAATAGTAATTAGTTAGACTCGTTACTGAAAAAAGTAACGTCATTCGTAACGCTGTTATTCCCATCACTGTATATAAATGAGTAAAAATGAACTCTGATAAAGGGGACGCATTCATGTATTTTTCCCCTTTCTATAAACTATGGTACATGAGTGAAAACTCTACTGTGACTCTTCTTTCACAGCTCTAACTTGTCATAAACATTTTTGTGTTTAACACAGGTACTTCCTGGTTCATATTTGGTTTGAAAGGCGCTGTGGTAATTCTGTCATTAAGTGGGATTTGGATCTGGTTCACTTGGAAGAAAAAAACAATATTGGAAGGCCCTGCTGTCCCAAAAAAGGTGGAATCTCCAGATAACTCTGTTTTCATGATTGAAATGAGTCCTTACTCCAACACCTAGTGTCACCTTTCACCTGCTGTACATTTGTCACGTATCCGTGTAGGTGTGGAAATAAGGATTAGAGTGTTTTTCTTTTCCTTTTCATTCATTCCACTTTTTTTTTCACAAGATAACAACTGTGTATAAATTTCCATAAAAATGTGGTTCTTCTTGTAATTTCTGCAATTTTATATTTAGGTCCTCTTAAATATAATAATCATCATATAAAAACTCTCTGTCCTTCATACTTTTTATTTTGCATTTAAATGTCATCTGTAGTGCTGAAGGACACGTTTGTGTACAGATGTTTTCGCCATTTGTTGTTTGTTGCTGCATTTTAAAATAATCAACCATATAGCTTACAATGTGATGTCAGTGTATGAATAACGTGCCAATAAAAGAGTTTATGTCTGGTAACCATGCAGGAAGAGTCAAAGAAAAGAGACCATGGAGAACACAGAAGTAAGAACTTGGTGCTTTAGATGAAAAGAGAAAAAAAGAACAAAACTTAAACATTGAAGTTAAAAGTGGATATCTTTTTCTCTATGTGGTAGTTAAGTAAAATTAACTTATTTAGCACTTTTCACAGATAAAAATCACAAAGTGATTCACAAAATGGTGTGGTGTGGAGCCACTCTGCTACCCCTTTTGTCGCTGCGGTGCTCCTCCTATAAGCTAAGAACAGGAAACTGAAGACACAGACTGGAAGGGCTCATTAAAATACTGAAGATCTGGTGACTGTTAAGGCTGTCAGCAGATCTCAGTTTCTGGGATGTGGTGGATTGAGAAATTCGTATCTTTGCAAATTTTTTAAAAGCAATATATTGTCGATTTGCAGGCCCAGCTGGCCTATACAGAAAGTCTGGTTCAGCTCTTTGTTGAAAATGTTTTAATCTCTGATCCTTTGAGGCTTATGATTCCTATCTTATGGAGTAGCTATTCTGACCTCACTAGGTGTAAAGTTGTGTTCTAGCTTGGAAGCTAGCATCACATTTGAAGAAAATGATAAGTAGAATTTATGATACAGTAGACAACAACAAGTTGCCTGCTTGACCCCTTCTGATGCAGCAGAAAACAGGATTTTGAGGAAGATTTCCATGTTAATAGATTAGAAAGAATTATACACTATGAATCACGACAAGTCTTTCTATAGCGATAAACACCAATTCTAATGCCCTTTGACAGTCTGACTTTTCATTTTCATAACTTGTCGTTTAAAGATATTAGTTATACATAGTCCTATTACTGAACAAATAATCTTCAATAGAAAATAAATATTAAGAAAATGCTCCTAATCTGCATATATATTGATATCACGTACTTTTACAGCAGATGGATAAATATTAGGAGGGGGACTCATTTAAAAAAAAAAATTATAGGAAACTATAGGATTTGTAATTAATCTCATTTAATCGTGCAACAAAATTGGCCCCAAAGCACAAATATATATATATATATATATATA